TTCAAGAATAGCGCCGAGGGTATACGCATGGGACGCGTGCGAAAAGGGAGGCGGCGTTCCATGGGGCGTGCGTAGGGTTTTATTTTTTAGGGAGCTTCTAGATTTCCTTGGTGTGCAAGCCAAGCAATAGTTATTTGGTAGGTTTAGGATTTTATTGCTTTCTAGACTTAGGATTTAATATTTAATTATTTAATTAGTTTCCTAGTAAGAATAGATCTAGAGATAGTTGATATATATAAATACCCCATGTACCTCATCATATTTTACATGTTGAATGAAGTATTGAATTGGTGAGCCAATCTTGAGGGGGAACTTTATGTTCTTAACGTGTGATAAACAAGGCCATTAGTGCGTGTTTACATACAGTGTCGGAGAGAAGGCCAATAGTGCGTCTTGAAGTCACGGTATCTAGGAGAAGGCCGCAGTGCGTCTGTTAGATACACCTATCGGGGATAAACGAAGGCCGCAGTGCGCAGTTTATTCGCAACCCAAGTATAGGCAAAAGATCGATCCGTCATCATTGGTGCTTTCATTGAGAGGTGCTGATCGATTTTTTTTGTCTATCTTATCTTTTTATTTTTTTCTGTTTGCCTTTTGTTGAGGGGCCGAATTTCTCTTCTTTTTTGGGTCGAAATTTTCGAATTTATTTCGAATTCTTCATAAAAAAAAAAGTGTCATCTTTTTAGTCCTTTTGTTATTTTTTTCGGTTATTACCTTTTGTTGAGGGGCCGAATTTCTTTTTGTTTTTTGAGTCGTGTTGGGGGTTCGAATTTTTCGAATTTTTCCCTATTTATTTTCGAATTTTTTAGACTCTTAAAAAAAAAAAAATCATCATGATGTTACCATTGGATGAGTTAGATCTGGAAGATCTTGAGTATCTCGAAGGATTGGAAAGGGAATTAACCGCATGGGAGCAAGAATTTTTGGAGGAGCTTCACGAACGTAGAGATTGGGAGGATCGTAAAAGACAACTCATGGAAGCCCGAGAAGCAATAGTGATCGATGTTCATGGCCATGAAGATGAAGGAGAGCTGAATTTTCTAATCCTTGA